TGAAGTGACAGTGAAGTGATGGTGAAGTGACAATTGTCACCTCGGGTGAGGTGACTCTCCATTTGATTTGCACGGAGAGTCACCTCACCCGAGGTGACAATTGTCACTTCACAAGTGAGAGCGTGTCACCTCACCTCACACGCCGCGCAGAATAGGCCTGATTAACATCACAACAATTTTGTGATTGTGTTTAACTTTTCATTTTCAAAGCGGGAGGTGAAAGAGAAACTGGAAGTTATCAAACCCATACGATGTTCAAGCAAACTCGACCGATCCACAAGATTCTGACTCGATTTGAATTATTGATTCCTTTCAGGTGTGCAGAAACAAAGTCGTAACCTGATCGATGGAGGAAGAAATGCCACCGTCATCCTTTGAAATCCTCTACAACTAAAGCAAACAACGAACTCGAACGGACGGAAAGATGAACGACGGTCATGTAATCGACGCGTCGAGTTCCTAGTGCGAAATCACAGCCATCCGTGCAAGAAGATAACTCGTAATCTCAGGATGAGCCGAATTGGATTCTGGGAATCTGTGTTGCACAGTGTAGTTGACTCATCTGCACATCCATAGGATCTTGTGAGGCTTTTGCTTAACAGTAAATTGCTTAGGTTCGTCAAGCGGGATGAAACTAACTCTGCAGCGAGCCAAATTTTATAAATTCAGCAAGGCTTTACCAACAATCAATACGAAACTAACGATTTTAAATTGGCTCACTACTTGACTAGCCTATTGGTCCCAAGCAAATCGATTAACGTACCCCATTCTAGTCGAAATTCTAGTACTACGCAATGTTTGTTTTGATTCGCTATGAAAGTTTGACAGATAAAATGAGGGGTTATTGGGTTTTCTTATGTTTCGAGGGGTGAATCGATTAGCTTGGGACTGAAGAGAGTACCAGAGCCGATCCAAAAAGTTGAGCTTGTTATTTCGGGACCTTCTAGTCTTAGAGTTACCTCTATGGCTTTACTGTTGACCGATCGGCGGAAGGCCACCCATCGCACCGGGGCCTCTTGCGATGAACAAGTTGAACTAGTGAGGTGAATCTCCGTGCAAATCAAATAGAGAGATAGCAGAATGTGCAAGTTGAGGATCAAAGGCCGTTTCTTCAATGTCAGTATAATCAACGTGCACAGCCCTCACTTAGCAAGTGACGATGACGATAAAGACGCTTTTTACGCGCAACTGGAACGGAAATACGACAGCTGCCCAAGCCATGACGCCAAAATCGTCATCGGAGATCTTAACGCTCAGGTCGGCCAGGAGGAGGAATTCAGACCGGTCATAGGAAAGTTCAGCGCTCACCAACTAACGAACGCCAATGGCCTTAGACTCATCGATTTCGTCGCCTCTAAGAATAAGGCCATACCATAGAGGTAACTCAAAGACTAGAAGGTCCCGAAATAACGTGCTCAACTTTTTGGCTCAGCTCTGGTACTCTCTTCGGTCCCAAGCTAATCGAATCACCCCTCGAAACATAGGAAAAACCAATAACCCCTCATTTTTCTGTAAAACTTTCATTGTGAATCAAAACAAACATTGCTAGAGTACTAGAATTTCGACTAGAATGGGGTACGTTAATCGTTTGCTTGGGACCAATAGGCTAATCAAGTAGTGAGCCAATTTAAAATCGTTAGTTTCGTATTGATTGTTGGCCATACGTAGTACCTACTTCCAGCATAGCCTCCCATATCGGTACACCTGTAGATCACCGCAGCCGACAGAATTGCAAATCGACAACGTTTTGATCGACGGAAGGCACTTCTCGGACATTATCGACGTCAGGACCTATCGCGGCGCAAATATCGATTCGGACCACTACCTTCTAATTGTCAAGGTGCGCCAAAAACTTTCCGTTGCCGACAACATTCGGTACCGACGCCCGCCACGGTACAATCTGGAGCGACTGAAGCTGCCCGAAGTCGCAACTGAGTACGTGCAATGCCTCGACGCAGCGTTGCCGGACGAGGGAGAGCTCACCGAAGCCGCTCTTGAGTACTGCTGGAGCAACTGTGATAGCAGCCATTAACACCGCTGCTGAAGGTGCCATTGGGTTCGTGGAGCGGAATCGACGGACCGATTGGTTCGAAGAAGACTAACGATTTTAAATTGGCTCACTACTTGACTAGCCTATTGGTCCTAAGCAAATCGATTAACGTACCCCATTCTAGTATAAATTCCAGTACTACACTATGTTTGTTTTGATTCGCTACACGCTAACTTGAAAGTACCCATTAATGGTTGAAAAAGACCCATTTTGAAGAAAAGTGGCTTAACTCATTAAATGAGTAAATTTTTTACCCATTAATGAGTATCTGTTACCCATTAATGAGTAATTGTAAATCATTAATGGGTAACAGATACTCATTAATGGGTAAAATTGTTTAATCATTAATGAGTTAAGCCACTTTTCTTCAAAATGGGTCTTTTTTTACTCATTAATGAGTACTTTCAAGTTAGCGTGTATGAAAGTTTGACAGGTAAAATGAGGGGTTTGTGGATTTTCCTTTGTTTCGAGGGATACATCGATTAGCTTGGGACCGAAGATAGTAAAAGAGCTGAGCCAAAAAGTTGAGCTCGTTTCTTCGGGACCTTCTGGTCTTAGAGTTACCTCTATGGTCAGACGGTTTTGGACGAGAAGAACGCAGCACGGGCGGCGATGCTGCAGCAAGGAACGCGTCATAATGTGGAGCGATATAAACAGAAGTGCAGACAGCAAACCCATCTTTTCCGGGATAAGAAGCGCCGCCTGGAAGAGCTGGAGTGCGAAGAAATGGATCAGCTGTATCGTTCTCAAGAAACACGCAAGTTCTACAAGAAACTCAACGCTAAGGCTTTGTGCCGCGAGACGAAATGTGTCGGGATAAAGGCCCAAGCGCAATGACAGCGGAAGCGGAACGGCAGCGGCAGCGGAAAAGCCCGATCTGAGTAAGACTACTTGTCGGATTAAAAACTTGTTAGAACCAAATCGACTTCGGTTAGGCATCTTGATGTCATTTGTGACAACTGTCAAATTTTCCGTTTCCGTTCCGCTTCCACCCACATTGCGTTTATGCCTTAAGGATGCGGTATCTTAACGGACGACCGTAAGGTGATTGAAAGGTGAAAGCAGCACTACGATGAACATCTGAACGGCGCAGAGGCGGAGGACCAAGGCGGCAAGAGGAATGGCTTCGTCGGTACAGCGTTAAGGATGCTATCCGACAGCTTAAGAACAACAAAGCAGCTGGGAAAGATGGTATCGGAGCGGAACTTATCAAAATGGGCCCGGATAAGTTGGCCACTTGTCTGCACCAACTGATAGTCAGGATCTGGGATATAGAACAGCTATCGGAGGAGTGGAAAGAGGGAGTAATATCAACAATCAATACGAAACTAACGATTTTAAATTGGCTCACCACTTTAGTAGCCTATTGGTCCCAAGCAAACGATTAACGTACCCTATTCTAGTCAAAATTCTAGTACTACGCAATGTTTGTTTTGATTCGCTATGAAAGTTTGACAGATAAAATGAGGGTTTATTGGTTTTTCCTATGTTTCGAGGAGTGAATCGATTAGCTTGGGACCGAAGAGAGTACCAGAGCTGAGCCAAAAAGTTGAGCACGTTATTTCGGGACCTTCTGGTCTTAGAGTTACCTCTATGGTAATATCATAGAGGTAACTCTAAGACCAGAAGGTCCCGAAGAAACGAGCTCAACTTTTTGGCTCAGCTCTGGTACTATCTTCGGTCCCTAGCTAATCGATTCACCCCTCGAAACATAGGAAAATCCACTAACCCCTCATTTTAGCTGTCAAACTTTCATAGCGAATCAAAACAAACATTGCGTAGTACTAGAATTTCGACTAGAATGGGGTACGTTAATCGTTTGCTTGGGACCAATAGGCTAGTCAAGTAGTGAGCCAATTTAAAATCGTTTGTTTCGTATTGATTGTTGGTAATATGCCCAGTATATAAAAAAGGCATGTGAGAACTATCGAGCGATCACTATTCTTAACGCGGCCTACAAAGTGCTTGTCCAGATCATCTTTCGCCGTTTATCGCCGCTAGCAAGCAGATTTGTGGGAAGCCGGTTTTGTGGACGGGCGATCGACAACGGACCAAATCTTTATGTTGCGGCAGATCCTCCAAAAGTGTCGTGAATATCAAGTCCCTACGCACCACCTATTCATCGATTTCAAGGCCGCTTATGATACTATTGACCGTGAAGAGCTATGGAAGATTATGGACGAGAACGGTTTTCCCGGGAAGCTGACCAGACTGGATGCAAAGGACTTCGACAAGGCTATTGTCTTTCCTGGCTCCTGTTCAACATTGCGCTAGAAGGTGTTATGAAACGTGCGGGCTTTAACATGCGAGGCACGATCTTCACTAAGTCCAGCCAGTTCATCTGCTTCGCTGACGACGTGGACATTGTCGGAAGAACGTTTCAGGCCGTGGCGGAGCAGTACACCAAGCTGAAACGTGAAGCAGAGAAGGTTGGATTAAAGGTGAATACGTCGAAGACAAAGTATCTGTTAGCTGGAAGAACCGAGCGGGATAGTGCTCGCATAGGCAGAAGCGTGACAATCGACGGAGATGAGTTCGAGGAGGTGGATGAATTTGTGTACCTCGGATCATTGGTGACGTCGGATAACAACTGCAGCAGAGAAATTCGTCGTCGTATTATTGCCGGAAGTCGTGCTTACTACGGACCTCCACAAGACCCTGAGACCCGGGTAAACTTCACCTCCGTACTAAATGTACCATGTACAAGACGCTGATAAGACCGGTAGTTCTCTACGGGCACGAGACGTGGACGATGCTCGAGGAGGACCTGCAAGCACCCCCCCTCCACATTTCGAATCCTGGTTAAGTATTTACTGCCATTTACTACTGATTGGTCACACCCAAACTTGTTCCGGAAACCCTGTGGTTGGACATGCGACACATCAAACCACATAAGAATTAAACTGAAAGGTGATTTATCGATCTACGATTGAAGCGTGGGTGGTGAATATTTTTGTAAATTTTATTCTATTTTTGTCGTTTTTTTTTTTTAATTTTCTTTTATCTCTGTCAATCCACATCGTTTAATTGTAATATTTCCATATTTGTCACGAGCGCTCTCCGCACGTGTTTGCTGTGTATGTGGCGCGGGGGAGATGTTTGAGTGCTTGTATGATTTGCTTACATGATTAAATGTTTGTTTGTTTGTTTTTTTTTTCTTCATCACTAAACTTAAATGTGGCGAAATGTTATGTACGCTACAATAGTGCATGCTCATACATATGCGTTTAGCTTTGCTTTCTGTTTTGTTTTCCATTGTTTTAATTTCTTTTTGAAGATTGGTTTCGTTTTTGCATAGCAAACAGTACCGATCTATGAGTTTGTGTTTTGGTTGTTGTACAATTAACATCTTTTATTTTTCACTGGGGATCATATTGTTGCATGTAGCTCTACACTGCGCTGCGCTGTTGACATTGACGGTCAGCTGATGCTATGTTTAGTTAACAGATTTGTAGCACAATTTCGGATCAGTAAATTTTGGATGGGGATGTTTTGTTCTGCTTTCATTACACGAAAGGGCACCTATTTTTTATTTGTTCCTATTTACTATGTTTTTTTTTTGTTCTTTCGATAAAAGCTAAAGCTATCGCTTCTGTCCATTTTGTAATTGTTGTTCCACTCTGTCTGTCTAAGTCTACTTTTTCACCAAGTATTGGTTTGTTTTCTGGGATTGTGTGTTTGTGTATTTCATTGGATGCAGGTTTACGTTTCTCATCGAGACAGACTGGAGTAAGATGTATGGGGGGTTTTTGCATTGTCAATTCAAAGTCAGTTTCGCACTCTTTCTAAATGTTTTATAATAATTTGAATAGCTTGAACAGTGAAAACACTACGAAACATCGCTTCACTATTAGACTGATATTTTTTGTTTGTTTAGAAGAAGTAATATGTGTGTTTGTGTTAAGATTACTTTTTTAATAGTTTTTGTTTCATATATTTCGATGATATGATGACACAATAATAGTGATGAGATGCAAATTTTTAATTTAAATATAAAACACATTAGCCAGCAGTAAAGTTTAGCAGTGAAAAATCACAAAGCGAGAAACGGTTCAAACTCATTAAATTAGCTTCAAATCGGTAATTCTGTTGTTGTTGTTGTTGCTGTTTCTATGTAATGGTTGAGCTGTTTTGATTTGCTATTTTTTTTTAATACACATGTCCACTAATTAACGGCTCTCTTTCAACATTGTGTTTGCTCTGCCAGTAATGGTTGATTTTTTTCTTGTGTATTTATGCCGTGCCTCCGCCTCTATTACGTATGCTTTGCCGACTTTCCAATTTATTTATTTAAACGTACTGACCTTCAAAAAATAGAAACTCGTGGCTTCACGGTTCTTAAAACTTCTACATCTTCTTCCACCATCTACAATGCATCGTATGGTTGTGTGAGTGGTACGTTCGAATGAATGGACAAACTATGCAGTAAAAATACAATAAATACAACTTGTTATACTTGTTGAGCTGAAGCCTTCCTTCGAAAGTGGAAAACAATTTTGAAAAATCATAATTTAGCGACTTTTAGCGCATGTGATGAGCTCGCACAGCAGGCCTAGCGTTGTCGTCTCATAGGTGTGTGGAGGAGTTGTTGTTTTCGTGTGTTTTGAGCGGACACCTGATGCACACCCAGCATGGCAGCAACTTCAAACTTCCTGGCAGTGTCTTTGTTGGATTATTAACACAGACAAATGGTTGAACAGATGGGACAATAGTTTGTAACTTTACTTAAAACAAAATCTGTTTCTCGTAAACGAGAGAGGAGGGACACAAAGTATTCAATTCAGAGATTTTTGCAAATGACTTAAAAGTAAATAGTTAACAAAACAAGCGAACGTTCCTTTAAATTACTTACAACTTAATTTGTATCGCTTCCACATTTCTGCTCACAAGTCACTCACGTTTTTTTTTTACATTCTAGTAGAGTTTATAACTAAATTATTCTTTGGAGAAAAATCAAATCTTTCTCATCTCATCTTTTTGCTCGATTCTGCTGAGTTTGTGTGTGTTTACTTTGTATTTAGCAGCGTGATCTAGAAGGAATCGGTTTACAAGTTTCCTTTTGTTGTGTGGTTCTCACTACAATCATGTTGGAAGTTTACCGAAATCACCAGCCGAAAACATAAACTAACTAAACACTTTCAAGTAATGCTTTCTGTCGTTTCCGCTCGCTATCGATTACAAACTAAAACTAAAAACATTCACTTGCTTAAGCTAGTCAAACTGCCGACCGTAATTCCAACTGTGGTTTTCAAAAAAAAAAGATCCATTGACGGTTCTCATTCCAATTGATGCTACCATAGAGATGTCACTTATTTCTACTAATCGCGTTTGATGTGTCTCCTTACTTGCTGCTGCTGCTGCTGTCTTCTTCCAGTTGAATTATTTAAATAAGCACGCTCTTCCATCTCCGTTTGCGTTGCTGCTACGTTCCATTAAGATTATTATATGTATATGTAATGTCCTTACTTGTGAAGTTAGTTTTAATTAAAATTAAATTTAAACTGAAATGACCAGTCCAGCTCAGAGGGTCTTCGCCCGGTCCAGCAGATCGCTGATGAATTTCTGTGGGGAGTAAAAAGGGGAGTATTTTAATTGATTGAATATTGAATTTATAGGGGAAATGGCCCTAATGTTGGCCTTTGGATCAAAGATTGGGCCCATCGCTAAAAATCTGCTACTTATCAATTGTATCTAGATGAACGCGTTATTGGGTCGTTACTAATGGATATTTTTGGTTGCTATTGAAAATTTAGTCGATTGCTGAATTTATGTATGGGCCCAAATTAGGGACACTTAAACCGACATTACATACATTTCCCCTACTATTTCGAAATAAATAAACAACACTACACGATCTACTCACCGATATGTCTTGCGGGGGCCGTTTGCACGTCGACAGTAAGCTCTGAAATGGATAAATAAGAATTGAAAGAGTTTAAATTTACTCATCTAGATGTGCTAAATGGCGATAATATAGGGAATTGATTTTCGATTTGAGACCTGAAGGTCCTCAATAACGTTCAATGATCTTAGCTGTTAGGTTAAATGGTGGTTCAAACATATCTTTTTGCTCGACCGAGCACAATCGATTCCAAATAAGCTCCTGACGATTCATTCTTCATCAAATCAAAGCAACCTGAGCAACCAAAAAGACCAAAACAAACAACAACTTGAGACTGGAGATTGCGTTGCTGCTGTTTTGACGTCATATAAGTTTATCTTGTATTCGGTAGAATTGAGTGGAACTTGCATTCTGGATTATTATGTAAATCTTCTAGCGGATGGTTTGGGTGTCACTTCCTGACTGTCAGCCATTTTTGTTCACTGCAAGAAGGATTCTTATCATACATAGGATCGCATTTAAACAGTCTATTACATTTTTCAATATTTAAGCCATGCTAAAGATAAAAGGATGTCATCCCTCCTAATTTAGTAAACGTTAAAGATTGAACTCCTACCCAGCCTAGTACGTACGAGGCTATTTTCCGTCGAGGAAGAGGTTTTTTAACACCGGGTATCCAATCTCGTCCGGCCCGGCAGATTTACCACTACTGCTGCTGAGGGCAAATTGAAGCTCCCGGAAGGTAAGAGCTTCGTTGATCTGCAGAGCAGAAACATCGGGTGGAATGCTGATTGTAGAAGGTTCGACGCGCTGGACGAAATCGCTGTCGTAGCCACTGACAGCAGACAGGCCGGCATAATATTTTCCTAGTTCGTCGGCGATGTCCTTCGGTTCTGAGACCGAGGGGGGAGGTAGCTCATCGATTCTTCCGGTTCGCCTCCTAGCATCGTGCTATAAGGTACCAGGCGATAACCAGGGTAGTTGATCGATAGCTCGATGACTTCATTTCGTTGGCGTCTGCAATGGGAAATTCTCATAGCAGGCATTGACGATGGGACGTTGTCGAGTTGTTGAATAGCAACTATCGTGGTAACTCACCGATTACCTGTCGATATGCCAAATTTGGAAAGACGTCTGCATTGAATTGTCTCATATAATAATATTCCGCCCACTATATCACAAGAAATTGCGAGTAGCTGAGTGGAATGGAGATAAGTTAAGCATTGGGTACAGGACCAAGTCTCCCCTGGGTGGTGCAAGAAGATGAGCGCAATAGAATCATCAAGTTGCCATAAGGCACGGAATGAGACTATTGCATGGCTGGGTAGTCAAAGTCTTCCATTCGTTAGTCATTTCAGGTGGATTAGAACAGGTGTAGGTTTAGGGTGGGCGTAGGCCAGATTTGGATTTTTCAGATATAATCCTAAATAGGACCTAGATTATTTAATACACTAGTAACCTCAACTTCTGTCACAATGTTTCATTGTGACTAATCAACACTCAATGGGTAAAATATCAAATTTGCGGTAAATTTGAAAAAAGGGAACTTGGAGTGTAGAGCGCACTGCCCACTGGACGATTCTGAAGCCTGACCAAGTGAATGGGTTACGGGTTTATTTGATTGTACGTCATTTTCAAGTTATATATAGATACATTCATACCATTGGCATTTTGTATTTGAGATAAAACAGAGACAGGATGCGGAGGGCCCGCTTAGGGGAAGCGTAACCCATTTATTAAATAGTTCAGATAGGCTGGAAATGATAGGTTCATGGTGAGAAAATGTACCATATGGTGCCCGTTCACTGATCAAAATTAGATTCAAATCGTCAGGCCCTGCCCTGGAATAAGGGGATTGACGATGATTTTCCAAGTTTCATTTTGCATTTACATATAATTGTAAGTTTAGCTTTGCTTTTGCAATTGTAAGATAGATAGTTTGCCTCAATTGAAACATTGAGTTGTATAAACTTGACGAATCATACCTCTAAAATAGTAGTAGTTACAGTGCCGCATTATCTAACAACCACTGCCTGCAACTAATGTTGGAGGGGTCGGCAGGGCTGATTCCGGATCAAAACTAACATAACTCTAACACTGAAATGATCCCGAAACTAGCGCTCATTCATTGCACTTTGAGTCATAAAGTAGTTTTATTTATTTTCCTACTAATCTATCTACACACTTAGTTTTTTCTACCGATCTCGGCTGTGCGGGTCTCGGCGGGGAGGGTTTCGCTGAGATCTCAACGGGAATGACATTTGATTGCTGAGTCTCGGATAATGCCTTTTCTAATAATCTGCCTACATTTCTTTTCTTTGTTATCTACTTTATTCCCTTTTTATTTTTCTGCTCTTCTTTCCTCTTCTCTTCTTTTGTTTTGTTTGTTTACGTATAACTAATACTAATACCTCCTTGTTTTCTCTCTAATTTGTCTACTATGTCCCACCATCACGATTAGAGATGAGCTACCGTACATGGTACACGCTCATATACACTCCCAAAATAGTATGCCGCAAGTAAGTATATCACAGAGGCAACTAAAGATCCAGAAACACAAACCGAAAACGCTGAACGGCAGATTGGTTTACAGTGGTCGACCAGGGTGTGTGCTGATAAATTACAAAATTACAATTACATCATTATTTCATACATCAGCTTGAATTACGTTGATCGATATTACATTTTTTTTTTTTTTTTGCTGTGCACTACACCAGCCAGCAAAGTTCAACAATCCATCGTTGCTTATGCCTTTGTTGTCGTTTGGAACCAGTTTTGCGAGGTAGGCGACGATTGTGCGTATTTCTCGCGTAACTTTTGAAAAAGGCCTATTTATAGCCTGAACAATACGTAAAGAGCAAATTGAAACATTGAACGTCGCGTGAAAGTGGAACTTAATGAAGGCCTAAGTACTTTTTTGTAGTTTTTAGTTTTCGGATTTGAAAGATCGTCGGTTACAGTGGCCTGCTTACTGAGCAGAAAAACGCGGTCCCAGGTCCTTACATATCAAAGAGATTTATGGTAAAATCGCTTGTGTATCGTGTATTTTGCGAAACTCGTTGTTGTCGTTGGTTCCGGGTTTGAATGGATACAAAAATTTGAACAACGGTATTATGTGATATGAGGGGCTCGGTGGCCTTAGAGCAACCGTTTTTGCTTACTGAGCAGAACATCATGAGTCTAATCTCAGGCCCATCCACATTCAAGATTCGTCAATCGTTTTATTTGTTAATATGACTACATGGTAATAACAGCAACTCGGTGATTAAAAAGGTGCTCGTCTGCCTAGTGGCAAACGTTTTTGCTTACTGAGCAGAAGACCGTGGGTTTAGTCCCAAGCTCCTTCGTGTTATAAGATCGTTAGGACATCAATTCAGCTTATCGTTTACCAAAACGAACCCTGCTGCAAACCCAACCCTCTTATCCAACATCCCAGTGATTCCTCGTGGAAGTGCAGAGGTGTTCTCGGCTTCCATCAAAGCGAATGTCATGTCAACACAATCCTTCCCATTCCTTTCTTAACCTGTGTTCGGGTGCGGCCGGCGCTGGTTCTCTGTGTAATTACAGCTGATCTGGCAATAACAGAGTATCAACCGTGGGCGGTCAATCAAGCTCAAGCAAGCTCAAGCTCCTTCGGTTCTGAGACCGAGGTGCCATGAGCTTGGATAGTAGGTGGAGTAGACCGCCGCTTGCCACTCAGAGCGTTGACACGATTCCACAATTCACTCGACGATTGAATCCAGGAAATCCATCCAGCTAGATCGCTTTGCGTCACGGATCACCTGTCTGCATGAAATCAGGGTTTCTATTCAAATTACATTTTTCAATCCCGGTTTTTTCCCGATTATTTAAAAAAAAACTCTCCCATAAACATAAACTCTCCCGTTCAAAAATCATTCTTTAGGGATAATGATAAAATTTTGTCAGCACAATTCCTCTACAATATGCTGGGCTGGTAGTATTGACTAAAATAACGAAAAAAGTGACCAAATAGTGACTTTAAAACAATAAAAAAGTAACAAATAGTGACATTAATTGATCGGAGAAATATTATAAATTCCCAAACCACCATGAGCATTTTACAAGCTTTTTTAAAATAAAACAAATGGTTGAAGGATCTTATAATTTTGTTTTCGTAAAATCAGTATTAATTGGATAATCAATAGGTTAATTTGTAACCTCCATTTCCTCACACAGTACTCATTTTTTGCAACGATTTTTTGGAAACCAACCGTCGAATAAATTGAATTTAGATTCAGATCGCGATTTGTTTGAATTTCGGGATGTGAAAGATTGAACATAGAAATTTATTAGGAAATCTTGAAGTTGATAAAAATTGAGGCGCAGAGAAAAATGTTCAACGTCTTGGACAAATTTGTCAATTTTAAGACTAGCAATTTTAAAGATCTCAAATATAGAAACTACTGTAAAACTTCAAACATAGTCAAATTTTCAAATCTTTGGAACCTAGACAAGTGTTCTGGATCGTATCAATAATTGTCATTATTCTGGAACGAGGATTTTTTTTCGAAAAATCTCGATCTTCAAAAAAATTTAAAATACTTTTTAGAGATATTCGACATTTTTTTTTTGTTTAATGCTGGTACTTAGTAATTCGCGATCTTTAATTCAAACAAATTAAGAAAGCGTAGAATAATTTACGATATGTTAGATATGTTACATTGCGAGAAAAATTTAATGGTGCTAAAATATATAAAAGATTTCATGATTTTAAACATAGAATTTATCTTAAATCTGAGGTTGGAAATTTGTTGATTCCGGACTTATATAAAATACAATTTAATGGGCTTGGAAAAGAACTTCTAAAAAAAGAAGAACTTCTACGAGATTTTTCGATGTTTTCCGATACGACCATTTTTCAACATATTAGGCTTGGAAACCTTTCAAGATGACGAAAAGATATCGGAACCAGAATTTATTTTTTTCGAAACCTCAGAAAATTTGTGATATCTCGAGATCATAGACAATGGAAAAAATTGTATATCCTATTTTTTTTTGAAGATAACGGGCTTGAAACAAATGCACACTGGCCATTCTATTTA